CCCACATCTGGATACGCTGCATAATCCATCTCTGCTGTCTGCTTTCGATTGGAGGGTTCAGGCTGCATGAGAGAGCAGGAATGGTTTCCAAATTTATATTCTTACTTTACGTTAAAGGGTAGTATTTCTTTTTTTTTATAGTCTTTATGTTGAACGCACTTTTTTTATACCACTTGTACTTGTAGTTAATAGACAAATCCCCCTCTGTGTTTGCTACCCCGTAAAGCATTCCTCCCTCTCGCTGACATTACCACCACAGGACCTAAAAACAGATGCAGTCGTAAAAGCGTTTATTAGGGAGGCTCGCTTTAATGTGAAGGTTGCACCTGCTAGCTGCTAGCCTAATATGATCCCTGCTCTGCTTTGTGGGAGAGGGCTCCTGGTGTTTTAACACCTTCTGGGAGTCCCAGGTGCACACTCCTGTACTGGGGCCAACTTTTGCCCTCCATGTTACTTTTGTTTCCAGACAAGACGAGAAAGAGTCGTCTCCTAATGAGAGAGAAAGTGTTTGAGAGAGAGAGAGAGAGAGAGAGAGAGAGAGAGAGAGAGAGAGAGAGAGAGAGAAGTCGTTGTGGAGCTGTGTTCTCATTTAATGACAATTCAAAACCTCTGTTTTTAGCTCCATTTAAAGGGTAAAGTTCCATCGTCTATATCACAGCAACACAAAACTCAACCAAGTCTCTGTGTAAAGGGGGCGAGTGCAGTCCCCAAAAACGCACATGCACTCCTTGGGACTGCACTCACCTCCTTTACACAGAGTACAAGCTGCTGCCATCTGGTCGCAGATATACTCTGCCTCGGTGCAGGACTAACAGATTAAAAAATGCATTTGTCCCTGGTGGTCTCATCAACAGCGTCATGTAAATCCTCCCCCCTTGATCTGTGTATTTAATTGTTTATTGTGTGTATTTTAGTTTTTTTTTCTATTCACTGCTGGCTGTAAAGCAAATTGCCTCTCAGGGATAATAAAGTTTACCATGAACCTTGAAAATCAAGTCTAAAAGTTAGTCACTAACATACTTTATACATACATATATTTATTTTGGGCTTTTTATGCTTTTAATGTAGAGATAGGACAGTGGATAGAGTCGGAAATCAGGGAGAGAGAGTGGGGAATGACATGCGGGAAAGAAGACACGGGTGGGATGTAAATCCGGGCCGCCCGCTTGGAGGACTACAGCCTCCATACATGGGGCGCGCGCACTAACCACTGCGCCACCAGCGCCCCCCTGTAACATGCATTTTTGTTGGGCCTTTTTGGCTTTAATTGGGAGGACAGCCAGTTGCTATCAATAGGAAAGGCAGGCAACTGCTTGGGGGCTCCAGGCCAATAGGGGGCCCCCAAGGGCTGAGAAACTTTAAAACAGAGCATTGGCACAAAATGTGCAAATTTCACAATGACAGCAGGAAACCTCTCTAAGACGGCCCTATCTAACACCACTTACGCATTCTCCATGGGCTACAGCGAAGAAAAAGAGGAATCTGTTCTGGAGTGCAAAAACAAAGAGCAAGACGAATAAGAGCTGGGACACTGGCAGACATAATGTTGATGAGCACTGGTTGGAGGGGCCCCCAGGGAAATTTAGCTTAGGGCCCCAACAGACTCTAGAATCACCACTGAGGACAGCTCGAATTAAAAATGTGGAAACGCTTCACGAATTTGCGTGTCATCCTTGCGCAGGGGCCATGCTAATCTTCTCTGTTATCGATTCCAATTTATTAGACACAGGAAATGTTAGGAGGAGAGAAAAGGGGATGACATGCAGCAGAGGTCAGAGGTCGGATTTGGACTCACAGCCGCTGCGTTGAGGACTACAGCCTCTGTACATGGGGCGCGCAACATAACCGCTAGGCTATAAGTGTTCCTGACACATCTTTTTTTGACACCATCCAATCAGTCTCTTGGAAGCGGACCATTGATAAAATATTCTCTGTTGGTGTTTTTAAGACTGTCTTTTTGGGGCTTGCAATTTCTGTTTTACAGAATTACACCCTCTAGCACCATATTTCTATGAGGCGGCGTTATGATGTTCAGTAACTTGACCTACTTTTGAGCCACTTTGTTGAGGGCATTAAAGATGTCTCACTCTGATGTCTCACCATGACACTGCATGACGTCAGCGTTACTCTTGTCATACAGAGAAGCAGCTCTGTCTACTGGTGTGAACGTATATAAGCATTTAAAAGTCTAGACTCGCAATATAGCACAATCCCCATTTTTTCAGATGTGTTTCAAGAAAAAAAAGAGTCATTTGTTTGGAGAGAAATGGTATGGGGCCTCCTGCCTCCTTTCTTGGTCTTCCCTTTGGGGTCTTGTTCTAGGTAGTTGTGCAGATCTCCAAACCACTTGGAGGAGCAAGTAAAAAGTGTCCAAACTCTGTCCATACCCAGAGCTCATGACCACAGATAAAGTGGGTACATAGATCTCGTACTGGTAATCTTGAGCTTTTGCCCACTGAGTAAGATGGTGGTATTAGAGGAACTGCATGGTATGTTAACAGCATCTCTGCATCAATGCTCATTTCACCACAGAAGTGTTTTATGGGTATTCTAATGATGTGCATGGATGTTGATAATTGATAGGCAGTGGAGTCGGTGCATGTGGACGGCTGAGGGCAGGTTAGATAAGAGCTTAACAATATCTGCTTTAGTGGAAACTACGAGCTCGGGGCACGTTTAACCACCTGTTTTCTGCAAAGTAAACAATGCTGTTACCGTTTTATGGGTCTGACTCATGGCTTACTTAAACGCTTCAATGGGCACTTAAATCCATAACTTCAGCACGGCCATCTGGGATGATTCGAGGCTCATCATGTTTCACCACTTATCACAGACAGGTACATGTTTCTGTGGTGGAGACAGACAAACTGAAGTGAACTGAAGCTTGCAGAAAACGGAGGCAGAAAATATTGAGTTTGCCTAACTTCTGAGTGAAAGTAGTAGTGTAGTAACATATACAGGGAAACTTATTGTCTTTATACAAAATGAATTATCCTAAAGGGAACCTGGCCGACTGGTTAGAGCCCACCTCCCATGTAAAGAAGTTGACAATCGTCCCTTTGGTGCATGTCATCAGAATCAGAATCAGAAATCAGTCATCTGACTCTCTGTTACAGTGTTTACCAAAGCAGGGGATGGGACCCCCCAGAGGACCCAAAGGCACCAAAAGTGGCGTCACAAGATGCCTTCCAAATCAATAAATACATCAAATAAGTATTTAAAATTGCACATTTTACCCCTTATTGTAAAATATACACAAACATACTTTAATTTCAAATAAACCTATCAATCATGCTGAAAAAAATTGATTATTTCAAATGTAATTTCACACATGACGGTAATAATGTAGTTGTATTACTGTAAATTGTCCACATAGTTCTAAAGTGTATACTAATTGCTTGTAATCTAGCCTTTCTTACTGCGCAGTTTCAGGCACTCCTTTAAAATACATTCTCATTCATCTTTCTTTGTCTGTAAACCTGGCTGCATAAAACACACTTTGACCACCAAGAAACACTCATTTGACTTCATAAACCACAACATAAAGGCAGATTGTGAGTCAGTGAGAATTCACATTTTTGCCTTTTTTTCCCCAGATTCCATTTAATGGTGATATGCTGCCATGTAGTGGGTGAAATCCAGTATTGCAGCGTCAATGACAAAGCTGCACTGGTCACTTTGAAGGTTTATGCAGACATTAATGCATGTTATCAATGCTGCTATTTTATTTGCTTATTAGAAATAATCACGTTTGTAAGTTTGTTTTCATCACCTTTACATGTTCAACTTGTTTCACCTTTCCTTTTTTATCCGTCATGTGAATGCCGTATCTGTGGATCTGCTGGAGTTGTTTCAAACCACTGACCTGGTTCTTCCCTAATGTGAACTTTAACAAACATTCAGAGAAGTTCTTCTACATAATATCCCCAGTGAACTGGTAGATTTACGATATGTTTCACTCAGAGGCATCCACGGTGCGATATCGTGTTTGCTTGATATTTTTTATGGTCAGTTTGGAAGGTAACTGGAGCTTTTGTGAGCCAGATGAGCATGAGGTGGATTGAGCAACAACAAGAGGTTCAGCTGAGGTGTAAACAGAACAGTTGGTTGTCTTTAAATCACTGTGCGGGTTGTGTAGTATTGGCTGCAAGCTGCAGATATCCAACAATCTCAACTCTTGGCTACAAAGAGTCATAGTTTAGCTTGTAAAAAGCGTTCGTTCTGGGTGACATCACAAAGGTTAAGTCCATGTTTTACACAGTCAATGAACAAAACTTGTTGGACTTTGTGGAAGTGCAGCAACTGTTCCAAACTCATGACCTCCCCTGATGTGCCCTTGAGCAAGACAAAAACCTGCTGCAGTTCTGACTGTGCCTTCAAAGGCCCATACTTCTATAATGTTAAGAAAGCCAGAACAATATTTAATATGTCTAATGACCTGTATGTCATGTGCAGTGTGCCCAAAAATACACATGTAATTTTTATAGCATGCAAGACAGACATGCCTTTTTGTAGTTCTGACCTAAAATCCTCTCTAGACAAAGATATGTTACATTTACCGAGGTGAGGAGAGGAGAGAGAGCATACAGATTAAGGTTCAGTACGCAATGTTGTGAGAAAGAAGTATGACTTCTGCATAAAAACTACATATTTCTTAAGTACAGCTGCAGCACAGACTATATAGCAAATAAGGTTTGCAGTATTTGTGTGCTGCACTTTGTGTTGTCATTGCTGGACAGGGTAGTTCATGATCACTTGTTTCTTCACAGGCTTCTTCACTTCTATTTAATCATGTAGTTTTGTTCCTTCCTTTCTTCTGTGATTTTCTTTGTCTATGACACCTCCTGTTCTCAATTCAAGAGTATTTTTGCCATGTCACTTTGTGACTTCCAAAGAGGCGGGGGGCTGCTGTGGAGCAGCTGAGGGGGAGGAGCTTGTAGTCACACACACAAGAAGTGATTTTGCAACCTGTTGCAAAGCTCAGATTGCATGTCGACCGAAGAACAACCTGACCTGATTCCTCTGTGGGCCTGCAGCACAGAGTCAGGGACAGAAAGCTAAAGTCAGCTATACACTGAACTAAAGTTAAACATCCATCTGTGTACTGTCATGGCCGAGAGAGCCGGTCAGACTGATCATGAAGAAGAAGAGGAGCAGGGAGAAGATGCAAGCATGCCTGATGATCCACATGAAGATGTGGATCAGCAGCATCAGACCCAGCCTGAAGAGGAGTCTGAGTGTCCGGGCTGTCAGTCTGTGGGCGTGCTGACGCTTCCCTGTGGACACAAACTGTGTCACATGTGTATCCAGGTGAGTCAGGAGGAGCTGGGTCAGACCGGCTGCACCATCTGCTACGGAGCCGAGCTGATGGACTCAGTACTCCACTCCCTCCTGGAGACCCTGTTCCATGGGCAGCCCAGGAGACGCAGGCTCCCACCTGGAGCCGCAGAGGAGGGTGTGATGGCGACGGGGGATGGAGGGAAAGCTTGGGCCGTGGACAGAGAGGAGGTGTGTGTGCAGCATGGAGAAATGTTCAGTGTGTTCTGTCTGGAGGAAGAGGAGCTGATCTGCCCGAACTGTGAGACGGACGAGAGGCATGAAGATCACCAGAGCTGCTCTGTACAGGACGCCGTCCTCGACTGTAAGGTCAGACACACTAACCGGATGCCCTGACCTGAATAGTTTAACTATGATGCACCAACATGAATTAAAGGGACACTCCCCCATTCTGAAATCATTGAACACGTCTGCAGTACTGGGTATTTTTGGATGTATTAAGTGGCTCGGGAGGATTATTTTCCAGTTGGAGAAAATAACATTGATGACATCACATTTATGTCATCTTCTCAAGGATCTTAAATAAAAGAGTTCAACCTGCTAAGATCTTAAGAGCCTTTTAAAGATGAAAAACACATGTAAAATCATGCAAAATGGAGAAGACTTGAGGACATCTTTACACTTAATTGCATGAAGATTTGTTTTCTTTCCGAGTATCCAACAGGATGTTTGAATATTTTAACTCATGGGACAGGGATTAGCCATGTTACACTGCAAAAACTCAAATATTAGCGAGTGTATTTGTTAAATCTATAGTCCAAAATAAATCAGTACACTCACAGTATACCACATTTAACTGAAAAGTACAAACAACCATTTCATTCCATGATATAAAAAGTAAAGGTCTGAATTGCTAGTAATAAAAAAATCAGCCAATGGTGCAAGCACAGTCTCCTTGTTGAAATGAGATGTACTGATTTAGATGAAGACATCTAATTTAACTTATACATATGAAGCAATGTCGTATATATTTAAGTAAGACTTTTCAGAGGAATTTAAGTGTTCTGAGATATTTTTGATAAAAAATTAGACAAATAAACTTGCTAAGAATTGAGTTTTTTGCAGTGTAGTACATCAGGTTTATTTGCTGTGATACCTTCCAGCAGCCTGTTAGCTACTCGCTGACAAAACACATTTGGGGGGCCAGGGAGAAAGAATCTGCAGGATTGAAGAGCATCTTAATGAACACTGTAGCCAACTATGATGACGCTGTAGTCGAGAATTTTGCAAATGTATCGTTTATATCTGTGCTTGTTTCTGGGTGTAATCTGAGTCGGAGCGGAGCAGCTTCTTTTTCTTTTTACACAATGAATCTAAGCAGGTGAGACCGAGTTACTATGATCCTGTGTGTCTCAGAAACGGTCGCTTCATCTCCATATTTATCAGAAAACGACATTTAATTAAAACAAAAATGAAGTCTCTTCTTTTTTTCACTGGCTGTGTCACTAATCAGAAAGTCTTCATTATTAAACGTCAATATAGGATTTATTCATTACTAGTAGTAGTAGTATTTGCATATCTGTGATTTTAAATTTGTCTGCCTTTTCTAGCTTTAACCAATCACATGCCTGGATAATGTTTCATATAAGATACCTGATGTTCTGTCTGCAGAGAGAGCTGAGATCTGCAGTCAGAAACCTCCAGGAGCAGTTAGAGAGTTTGACCTCCATCAGACGAACCTGGGACGAAACTTCTGCTCACATCAAGGTACGGACTGACGCTTCCCAGATTCTGCACTGCAAAAAAAGTAAAATCATAGTTGATATATTAAACACAGAAATAATAGCAAGTGTATGTTTCCTATTTTCTAAAAATACATTATTACACTTATTAAAAGCCACATTCATTTTACAAGTTCTAAAAAACATCTAATTTGTGATATTACATGCCAAACATTAAGGCCTGAATTATTTGTGTTTAGAGCAAAATAGAAAGAAAAATGAGAAATAAGAAAGTTTATTGAATTTAGTGAAAGATGTAATTTGTCAGAAACTTAAACAATTACATGTTGCTTGCTTCAGTGGCAGCTTCTTTTACACATTATCAGAAATTCAGGTGCTATTACATTTATTATGTCAACCAGCTGTTAGGTATCAGGTAACAGGTAACAGATATACATCCGCTGCTAACACTGAAGATGCAGTATTATTTGTCCTTGGGCTGATGTCTGCACACTGATGTTCAATCCATACAATAATGCATCTGTGGCAAATCTCAGCAACAATGTAATGTAAAAAAACACTTTTAATGTTTCTATGTGACTAAATTACAGAACAAGTTTAAATGATTCTTCTTGATGTCTCATGATTCATCATTCAGAGACAATCGGTCCAAACGGCTCAGTTCTTAAGGGAGGAGTTTGAGAAGATGCATCAGTTCCTCAACGAGGAGGAGGCTGCTCTGATGTCTCAGCTGAAACAGGAAGAGGAGGAGAAGAGTCAGAGGATGAAAGAAAAGATCGACAGGATCAACGATGACGTGGAAACGCTCACAAACAGTATCAGAGACACGGAAGAGGCCATGGGCTTGGAGGACCTCGTCTTTCTGAAGGTAATTCAGCAAACTGCAGCTTTGTGCCGACGTGATTGTTGTTGTTTTTAGTCATCTAAATTCAAGCAAGAATGTATAACTTTAAAAAGAGTGCTTGCTCTCATCATGTGCTCTGGGATCATTTTGTCAGTCTTGGTTTGAGATGCTTTTGAAAAAGGGAGAGAGGTTAGAACACAGAAAGGTTTACAGCCCGATGCAGAGCTGGCTAAACACTGAAGCTTCAGTGTCCACCACATGGCAACCTGCGTCAGCATTGACTCTAGAGAGGAGGGGGCAGGGTGAGACAGCTCTCTGCAATGTTTTGGATTTAGACTGCAGTACCCATTTTAAACACTAGGTGTCAGAGTTACATATTGCTCCTTTAAAGGGCCCCATTTATATTAATTAATTAAAACATCTTTATTTGGTTACAGCATTTTGGTAATTGTATCACAAGAGTCAGGACGACGATATAATGCAGTATGGATATTCTGTCCCCCCTTTAGCCACGGCCTATAGATATCTTGGTAACAGTTGAATACACATACACATTCTCCAGATGCTAACAGCTTGCAAACACAGATGTAGACGCTGAGGTTTGATCAAAATCTGGTAATAGTCTGTCGACATGGGCCTTTATCTTCTCACAATGTTTTAGCCGGCTTCGTTCCCCTCTGCTTGTCAACTAATGCATGAAAGGAGTCATAACCGCAGTATGAGTGTTTTAAGACATTGCAGTTGCACTCATAGACCTTCAGTTGGCGCCAAAGTGCACCAAACTGTTATCCTACATATTGAGGCTTCCATATCGAAGTTTGCAAGGAAAGCAGCTTGTTGACTTTTTTGGTATATGGGATTTGATCTTTAGACTACAGAGCCCTAAATGTTAAATGTTCGATGACCTTGTTCCAGCTTTCTGATATTTCTAACTTTGGTTTATTGTTAGAATCCTGCTCTGTTTCTAAACCTACATTCATATGAAGAGTGTATTTGTAGTTCACTTGTCTCTCCTCTCTGCGTCAACAGAACTACAAGAGGGCCTTTGAAAGGTGAGCTTCTTTATTAGATGTCCAGGCTTAGTTGTTCTTTCAAATTTTACAGTAAAAGCATTTAGCAAAAAACAAAGAAATATGTGGCTATAGTCAAGGTTCATTGTTTCACCAGCTGGTTGATACTTTTTTGTTTTTACCATTAAATCCATCTTTCTTTCATCAAAACCAATAAGTATAGATTTTTCCCAAAATCGGGGATAGGTCTATTTAACTTGTATTTTGTATCTGTACAATTTGTGTAATGTAAGTCAAGGTATTTGCAGCACATTGTATACAAATGTCAGACCACACAGCGTTGTAGTTCATCTTCATTCCTTGTTGTTTGTCGCAGAGCTCAGCACAAAGTGGAGGAGCCTGAAGAAGAATCTGGAACCCTGCTTGATGTGGCCAAACTCCAGAGCTGTGTGCAGCACCAAGTCTGGGACAAGATGCAGAAGATCATCCAGTACTGTGAGCAAAGTCTTACTCTGTGTGCAGACAGAACTGTGTATCTTTGGATAGTTCACTTCCTGCTAGTGTTGTAGTCAGGATCACACTGACCGAGACCAAGTACTACCCGAGACCAGAGTGCCCCGAGACCGTGACAAGACCAAGACATATAGGGATCGAGACCAAGACCAAGGCAGGGCGAGACCATTGTGGCCGTAACCAAGGGATACAAATGAAATCATGAATGAATTGAAGTCATATCTTTTGTTTGATGTGTGCTCTTGATTTGTGCCGCTGTTTCTTTGTGTCTCACTGATAATCTTTGTAATCCTTAGTTCCAGTGACCGTGGACCCGAACACAGGCTCTGTGTGTCTAGGTGTGTCTCCTGAGCTGTCCAGTGTGTTTGTGTGTGAGAAGCAGCCTCTCCCAGAAAACCCAGAGAGGTTTGTGAGTCCACAGAGCATCCTGGGCTCGGAGGGCTTCATCTCAGGGAGGCACATCTGGGAGGTGGAGGTGGGAGACAACAGTCACTGGTCTCTGGGTGTAGCCAGTGAGACGGTCCACAGAAAAGACTGGTCCTCCTCTGATCTTAACCCCAGTCCTGCCGTAGACTCAGACACAGACTCTGGTGGCGGCCTGTGGACTGTTTCCCTCTCCTCTGGGGAGTACCGGGCCTCTCCTGGCCGCAGCGCCCCCATCACACTGAGGCGTAAGCCACGCAGAGTTAGGATTCAGCTGGACTGGGAGAGAGGGTGTCTGACCTTCTCTGATGCCAGTGATAACACCCTGATCCATCGTTTTAAGCAGCAGTGGAGCGATACGCTGAGACCATACTTCTGCACCACCTGCTCCAAACACCCTCTGAAGATCACAGCAGGGAAGGTGACCGTTACTGTAGAGTAGCATCACACAGCCAGACCCTTAGAAGAATGATGGCTGTATAATAATCTGACACTTGCTCAATACACTATGGGCCTGAGTAACAAAAGGATTGCAGAGCTTTGGCACCAGCTAAACCTGTGCACATTGTTTAAAAAAGACAGTGTCTAGGCTTTCATGATACCCATAACTGCACTGCATGACAAACATCATCTCTGATGAGGTATTTTTGTGCAGACATTTGAGGAAAAATTCTATGCAAATCTGCCTCATTGCAAAAATCAGCTAACTCCTTGTCACTCTGTTTGATGCATCATTTTCTCTGATGTCTATCAAGAATAACCATCCATCAGACTGTTTGGGAACCAGGAGAGAAGGTGTTTAAGTTTTGCTAAAATTCATTAAAGAGGACATATTATCCCCCTTCTCCACCTTTTCAAACAGTCCCCTGTGGTCTAAATGAAACATCTGTGCTGTGCTTTGGTCAAAATATAACATGAATCAAGAAGCAGAGGAGGTTTGTGACCCTGTATAAACCAGCTCTCTCAGAACGCTCCGTTTTGGTCTGTGTGTCTCTTTAAATGCAATGAACCCCCCTGAGTTTCCCGGTAGACACCACTCCTCTGTAGCGGGAATAAAAATGGCGGACCTGTGTAAAAGTTTTGTTCTAGGCTGGGGGTGGAGTCCATGTGTGGAGATACCAGGAGAGGGGAGGGGATTTGTTTTTACCAGAATCCCACTGTGACATCACAAGGAGAGCAAATTTGAAACTGAGCATTTTTCTCTGTGTTGTAAGACTTGCAGACCACAAACAAAGGACTGGATGGATTTATTTCACATTGTGTGGGTCTGCAGACACTCACACTAATTTGTTTGGATTGTCATTTTTAGAGAAAGCCTCTAGTGGTCACTTAAGGAAATGCAGTTTTTAAATCTCAAGCCAAACCCAAACAATATGTGCTAGTTTACCCTTTCCACTTTATTTTTTGTACATCATGTTCCTCCTGATACATACCTAAAAGGTTACTAAGAGATAGTCAGGTGTGTACACAGAAAGCATTACAAAGGTAACATTTATATAGAAACACTCAATATATGGAGCCAGATTCAAAGGGCAACGCTTCACAGAGTCTGCACAGCCTGTATCAAGACAAAGGTGACCGGGATAAACACAACCCGGGTCATATTGGTTTTGGCCAATGGAAGAACATTGAGGGGGCATTTTCCTCAATTGGCTTTTCCCTTCATGTGAGCTACACACATCCAGCAGGTGGCGACAAACAAGAATAATTGTCAATTGAGGCCATCCCATGATGACATCAGAGTATAACATTTGTATTAATGGGTCAATTTATAAAGTCTAAAAAATTAGGCTCCATGTCTTTCATTTGACTAAGCAGATTTTCACATCAAGATGAATGCTCTCTTTCAAGCTGCCCCCTCCCCTCCCGACCTGTTCCACTGGAAGGGACAGAGACGGGCGCAGATGAGCGCCAATAAACATCTGAAAACAAGGTTCTGTGATTCATTTCATGTGATGATATTAAAATTTTTAATATTCACTTGTTATGTTTATCTTTTCAGCCCATAGAAAGTTTTTTCTCAGGTTTGGGGAGTTTGTTGGTTCTCCTTCAGTCGCTCTCTTGAGACGACAATCCGTATTAATGCACCTAGGCACAGCTCCCCTGAGTGGGTGGGGCCATCGCTCTTCCCACACATGGTGGTGGTTGTGCTTATGATTGGACAAGGATTGATTTCGTTCAAAACTTGACACCCCATGTTTGAGCCTCTGAGTGAAACGTAAACAAGCTGAAGGGCTGTCCCTCCAATGTGAACACAGAGCCGAGAACAAAAAATCCACAGGACTTCACTATTTAAGGAAGTCTTTAATCCACTAGGGGATATTTTATATTTGCCTCATTAATTATCAGAATGTCACATATTATGCGTTTAAAGATAGTGTCACTCTCTATTCAGAAAGGACAAAGCGTTTTAAAGTGATAAGGTTAAGGGTTCAGGGTTTTTTTGTCATTTCTGCCACATCATAAATAATTTACCCAGTGAAACATTTTATGTCAGAGAGGATTCTTAGTGAAATTAAAAATGCTGTTTTTTCTATCGACATGAGAAAAAAGACTAGTATGCGAACATCCAAGCAAATTGAATACAGGTGCAGGACATAAAAGGTAACAACTGCAGAAAAGGGGAAAAGTCCTCACACTGTTCTGTTCAGCTCCCAATGAGCAAAAACTTTATGAAAAAAACTTTATTATTATTAATACAGTGATTCTCTATATGCATGTTTATTACGTTACAGTGCTGCAAATCTTTTTGTTGCAACAGAGACATGAAGAGGTTTTTGTCATGGAAAATATCTCCGATGTTATGCAGAGGTAAAGCCATATGCTGGACTCCTGAGAAGTCTGTTTTTGTAAAGAAAATGAAGCTCCACTGCAGAGGTCACAGTGTGACTAAACAGCCTCACTGAGGTGTCTTTCTTCTGTTCGCACACCTGCTGCTGTTTGTCCATCTGTCCGTCCGTCTCCCTGCAGCCTCAGCCGTCTCTTCATCTGAGGGAAAACATCACCTGACCTCCCTCTGGAAGTGTCAAAGCAACGTGACACACACAACTACTGACAAGCATTTGGCTTATACACATATATTTGACCTTTCAGACTCATCCAACACACACAGCCACACACACACTTACACACACTTACACACACTTACACACACAGGTGCACAAATATCATTGACCTCCTTTCTTAAAATACACAGTGAGTCATAGGTGAATCTAGACCAGCAGTAAACATGCAGTGACCTAAACTATTTAAAGGACATTATGGTTTTGTGGCCAGACAGGACAATCGTTCATGGAGGGTAATTTGATCACCACATTAAGGTTAAGACTTTGTAGTTGCTGCGATTGAACAAAGCAGGGCTCCATCTGGATGAGAATGATTTAACTTTAATGTGATCCAGGATCAGATAATGCATTTTAATTTGAGTCTGGTTTCTAAAAGAAATTTTAGATTTGATCGACCTGATCCAGAAAATAACTTTTTAAGATGATTAAATCCACATTTCACCAGTAGTCTTATTTGGACTACATATTACATACTTTAACCACAAGGGAGCACCAAAATCCACACAAAGTCAAAGATCCTGACAGTGGCTTTTAAATAATATGTTCTCTTTTTTTAATTTATTTTTTAATTTGGTGATGCAGAACAATACAAGACGAGTGAGGGACATGACAAGCAGGGAGTAATAATAACGTTTAGCAATTTTGTGTGAGGGTGTTGAAGGGCCCTGCTTGTGTGTGTGAGTGTGTGTGTGTGTGTGTGTGTGTGTGTGTGTGTGTGTGTGTGTGTGTGTGTGTGTGTGTGTGTGTGTGTGTGTGTGTGTGTGTGTAATTCAAGTGTATGCTTGTATTTTTTTTCACCCTTTCATCCCTACTCCTATTTTTCTCTTTCTTCTTTCCTTAATTCCATTTTTCTTTTCTTTTCTTTCTTTATTTTTCCTTTTTCTTCTTTCCCCTTTCCTCCTTTCCTTCCCCTCTTTCTTTCTATATATATTATCATTTGTATTACTTCAGTCATTGTGTGATGCAGGGGTGCCCCTGTCTCAGTTGCCCCCAGACCCTGCGGAGGGGGCCAGCTGATAGGGTTGCCTACTGCTACCCTCTCGCCAAGCTTGAACAACCCCGAGACCTGATGGGAGGGGATCTGTTTGTGTTGGTGCTCGGAGGTATCATCTGATTATTTTCTTTGAGGCACAGTATTTTTATCATTGCAATTTTTTTTGTTTTTTTGTTTTTAATGTATTTGTATGTTTTTGTATTTGTTATTATTATTGTTGTCCTGAAGTCTATCCTTTTTTTAACCTTAATGTTTAAAGATGGACCACTGAGAGGATGGAGGCACCAGGAGGGGCTAGAAAGCATATTCAAAACAAAGGCAAAGAAGAAAACTAGAATAACTGAGGAATGATAAAATAAAAAAGAACAAAAAAAGTGGGTAATGGACCATATCAATTGTGTTCCAGTGTAGTGTGTTATTGGGTTATGTATTGATGACAGTAATATAAATAGGGCAGATCATGTTGTAGTAATAATAATGTAATTTGTCCAGATTGTTCGACTATGATTTGCTGGTGTATCATTTTAATTCTCATTATCTTGCCTTCTTCACCCCCTCAACATACCTCTAATACCAGAAAAAGAGAAAAATGATAATAATAATGATAGTACAAAATAAATAAATAAATAATAATAATAAAAAAGAAAGATATATATATATATATATATATATATATATATATATAAAGCGAGAGAGAGAAAACAAAATTAAATAATGGTAAATAATAGAGATAATATCAATATTTGAAGCAATTGTTACAGGAGTACAGTAGTAATTATGATAATAATAGTAAAAAGAAACAAAAAAAAACAGCAAAGGTTTGTTGTATATATAATATGTTCTCTGTTTAAGAGTCCTTCCTTATATTTATTTGCTTATGTGGTTGATTGATATCTATACGAGGCTGACGGTGTTAGGGTGTACGGGTTTGTGAGATCACCTCTCTCTCTGCTTCCCCTCAGCTTGAGAAACTCTTAAAGAGCCCATATTCTGCCCTTTTTGGGGTTCGTATATTTAATCTATGTACCTACTTTTGTACGTTCACAATAGCTAAAGTTTGAAAAAAGTGTCTGTTTTCATGTACTGCTCCTCCTTGCTCCCTCTACGCTCTGAGTCTGTCAGCTGCACTCTGTTGAGCCCACACTGTTAGACCCCACGTGGGCCAAGTCTGCTCTGATTGGTCTGCCGATCCGCTCTGTCGTTATTGGTCAGTTGCTAAGCACGCGTCTCGGAAATTTCAACATAAGCTGCTGGGCTTGCCACAACGAGCCAATGGGCTTAGATCAGTGATCTCACACTGACAATGACGCCGCACTGACAATTTTTATCGAGGGGGGCTAGAACCGAGTGTTACATGTGGTTAATGTTACAGCTAACAGGAGGACATAGGAGAAGCCATGTTTCTGCGGACATGTTTAGGCACATAGATGTGCCTAAACATGCACAGGACACTGTGGAAAACACACTAAAGGGCATATAAAACCAGAAAAAGCATAATATGGGACATTTAAGACTGTTAAAAGTCATCCTCACTTCTTCTAAAAGTTTCTCACCATAGGAGCTCTCTTAAGGGCTAAGATGATTTGTGAATAACTTTCATTTTAAAAAGGATCTAGTCTTCACTGTAAGGGGAAAATGTTGTGATTCTGATACATTTTCTACAAATTTTGTCAATATAGGAGCAAATCCATCCATCCATCATCTTTACCGCTTTTTCACGTTTTGGGGTCGCAGGGGCCTGAGCTTATCCCAGCTGTCATCTGGCGAGAGGCGGTACAACCTGGACATATCAAAACAGACAACCAGCCACACTCACATTCACACAATACGGGGAATTTAGAATCACCAGTTAACTAACGAAAAATTTGGGTCTGTAACCAAAAATTGCAGTTTGCAGAAAACTTTCAAAATTGCACAAGAAAGTTGGCAACGTATCAACAATTTGTGCAATTTAGCAAAGCTGTCTCTTTGTCTTGTGAAAGCTTTAGATTAAAATACGAGTGAGGGTCTGAAGGTT